TAAACGTGTCGTATCTTTTTTCGAGTTCTTCAATGTCATGACACTGTTTGGCTAGATGTTGACTCTTTGCTTCTCGTATTTTGCGTCGAATTTCTTTTTGTATGCTATTGTAAAGTGTTTCGTTGGTTTTTGCTAGTCGCCGTTGTTCCATCAAATCCAGTATATCATCTGTCATCCAAGCCTGCTTTTTTGGCTTTGACCTGCCTTGTAAATTTCTCACACAGATTTCTTTTACTGTCGTTACGATTTTATTTAAGCCCCCATCGACGTTTTCACCAATATTTTCCCAAATTAAATTTTCGTTCAGTTGTCTTTGAACTGATTCCTTAACTTTCTCGTCTTGTAGTTGGGTTGTATCAATCTTTTTGTGAGACTTCTTTTTGATCACCTTTTTTAATTTTAATTGGGTTACAGCTACTATGAGATTGTGATCGGACCCAATGTCAGCACCTGGATAAGTTTTAACTGATTTGATGCAGTTTTTAAATCGATTTTTTATTAGAATGAAGTCGATTTGATTCCTAATAATTTTGTCCTCTGATTCTGCATTTGACTTCCAGGTGTAGAGTCTTCTCGGTGGTAGTTTAAAATGGGTATTCGATATAATGAAATCGTGTTCTTGACAGAACTGGACAAGTCGATCTCCACGTTCGTTTCTGTTTCCCAAGCCATATTCCCCCACAATGTTCAAACAGCGTCCTTTGCCGACTTTAGCGTTAAAATCTCCGAGGACTATGGTATTTTCTGCTGCTTTGACAAGATCTAGAGCATCAGTAAGATCTTTGTAGAATGCTTCTAATTTATCTTCATCACTAGATGATGTTGGGGCATAGACCTGAATTACGTTGGTAATGAACCCTCCTCGCAAGGGGGTAAAAACGCAAAAAAAATCGATTTATACAGAATCTGTACACCGTACAAAAAAATGTTTCAAATAAAAAATGTCATCATCATCAGTGGCATTACAGCTCGTTATGAGCCAAAGTCTTTTCAGAACAATCTTCCATTTGCCCCTGTCTCTGGCAACTCTTCTCTATGCTTTAACTCCGATGGATTTTAGATCATCCTCTATGTTATCTTGATACATAAGTTTTGGTCTTCCTCTGGCTCGTCTTCCCACTTGTCCTCTTCGGTCGAAAATTTTTCTGATTGTTGCATCTTCATCTCGCCTAATTACATGTCCTATCCATCGAAGACGTGCTAATTTAATACATTTACAGTCAGCACCCAAACTTCTGTATAACTCAAAGTTGTAGCGCCTACGCCACCAAACCTGTTCTTGGACTCCTCCATATAGTTTCCTTAGAATTTTTCTCTCGAAAATTTAAGCAATTCTTGGTCGTCCTGTGTAAGTGACCACGTTTCTGACCGGTATGTTTTCACTGGCCTTATTAGTGTTTTATATATGGTAATTTTAATTTTTCTGGGTAGTTTTGGGGCCATCTGTTTCCTCAAGCCATAATAGCACTTATTGGCAAGCACTATTCTTCTTTTAATTTCTTCGCTGACATTGTTGTCAAGAAGAGTAGAAGCACTAAAAAACATAAAGGAGTGGTTGGAAGAAAGGTAGAAGAAATTGCATCTGCATATTGTAGAGCTTTATTTGAAGAAAGAAACGCCGTTAAAGTATTGTATTGGACAGACAATTGCTCAGCCCAAATTAAAATTGGTGCTTATTTACCATGTTTGTCACAATGGTAAATTCAAAAATCATTGCCACCTCTGAAATTACCCTTAAATATTTTGAGACATACACCTTCATGAGTGCGGATTCTATTTATCACGGTGTGGAACAGAGCATGAAGATTACAAATGAACAGTTTGAAATGAACAATTTTATCAAGGCTGTAGAAAAGTCAAATGAAAAAAAAATGAACGTAATTTGTTTAAAAAAGGAAAATGTTTTAAATTGGCAATGTAGAGATTCAAAAGCCAAATCAAATAAAACGGATAGACCTTTGCTTTGCGATATATTTGTGGTACAGTTCAGACGAGGCAGTCCGATTACTTTTTTATAAAAATAATATTAACGACTAAAATTTCAAAGAATATAATTTTCCTAAAGCAAATTTTAAACTAGAGATTCCTAGTAAATTACGCGATAATTATAGAGGTGCCCTACGCAAAAGAAACAAGGTATAATTTCGCAACAGTGCCCTCTCATACCTGAAAACAGACGGCATTTTTGTCTTTCATTAAAGGAAGATGACATAGAAGACTTTGTGACGCTTTTAGAAATCTCTCAAATTGCGATTACACCAACTCATACACATATGATAATTCAAACTAAAGAATTTTATGCTTTTTTGCAAACTATTACGATAATTAAACCAAGGTACCATGTAAATACTGCAATCAGCTACAATATTTTAAGGAATTTATTAGAAAACTGGCCAGCATCAACAGTTATTTATACAGACGCATCAAAGTCTTCTCTTGGCACTGGATTCGCTTTTTATATTCCTTCAAAAAGTATAGAAAACATGTTTATTTTAGATAATAATTTTTCAATTTGTACTGCTGAAGCCATAGCAATTTATGAAGCATTAAAGTATTTTAAGAATTCCAATGACAACTCCGCAATAATTGCATCTGATTCTTTGTCAGTTCTTATAGCAATTGAGACTATATCTTTTCCTAGCAAAAGCACAAATATTTACATCCTTCTAATAAAAAAAAACATTTTTGAATTACATCAGGAACAAAGAACAGTTAGATTTTTGTGGATTAAAGCTCACATGGGGCTTGAGCATAATGAGTACCTATGTAGATATATTAGCTAAGAAAGCCATTGATTCTGGTGCGAAAACAGATTATAAGCCTTGCATACCAGATGTATTTGTAACAATCAAGAATATTGTAAACAATCAGTGAAAACAAGAATATTATGAATATAGTCAACACTCCAAATCACAATATGCACTCATACAACCCCAATCCCGAGTGAATTTTGGTTTAAAAGTTACTCTGTTCCACGTAGATACATTACATCTATTATCAGAATGAAATCAGGACACGCATGTTATCCGGCTCATCTGGCAAAACTTAAAATTGTAAATTCCAATTTATGCAAAGTTTGTCAAAAAGAAGCAGATTTAAAGCACATTTTCTTTGAATGTACAAAATATATACAACAAACTGACGACTTAATAAAAAATTTAATCAAACACAAAATCCTTCCACCCTATAACATTTGTTACCTTTTGTCATTAAATAACAAAATTGTATATAACTACCATCGAGCAAAAAGACAAAAGAGGGAATCTAATCCTTATGAAAAGGAGACCATAAAAGTGGCCTCTGATGGCGGACATATCCGGAAATGTGAATGCGCCAAATTTAAATTTTCCGACACTTATTAACAGTAGCTATATAATATTTTTCAGAATGTGTCTTAGACGAGAAGTTTTAATTAATTATTAACGATAATAGTCTAAATTGCGAGACAACTGTTAAAAAACTTCAATATAAATAAGATTTCATGTTACATTTGGGACAAACAATAACATAACCCAACAAAATTTGATGTCAAACAAGGAGAGAGACTCTCTTTCCTTGTTTAATGTGGCCTCTAAAGATCGCACTTCCTGTCTAACAATATTTTTGCGCCCACTACCTTTAATTATCTCTTAATAGAATTTATTTCGAAAAGTAACGTCAATTTGTAAGTCCAGTTAAAAAAATAGTAACCTTTGTTTTTTAATTTAATATCTTGATGGGTCCCTAGACGAGAAGCGAGTAACCATGTTTGTTCCATGGATAACTAAACAACCAATAATAAATATATTGTGATAATTATTTTCTTTTCTCTCCTTTGGGAAGAACTTAAAAAGTTGTGACTGGCTGAATGGCAAATGCCTATGCCAAACAAAAAATAGAAGACTTAATAAATTTCGAATAGTTTTTTCAATATTATGTAATTAATTAAGACTTTTTTCTTTTTCTAATGTGAATTACATTTTGATTTTTTATTTCATTACACTACCGCTTTCTTCTGCATTATTGTTTTATTTTTAAAACCGATATTTACATAAAGCTGACAATTATACATTTCTGCAGAAAATAACTTCATTATTAGGGCAAACAGCAGGAACTGCTGAATTTTCAGCCAAAAAACAAGTAGCACAATTAACGTTTAACGTTTTTCTACTTAACATTAAAGAAATAAACTGTTGAAAAAATCTTAAAATTAACTTAAAGCCATTATTTTGGCACTTACTCCTTTTTATCTTATCACGGCAGTATTATACAACCGATTATATTAACGGCGGAAACAGAGAAAATTTTTAGCAGTAATGGTGTATGTGAAATAAAGACGAACGAATAATAAAGTCATTCTGAAGCTATTTTCTTGAAGCATGTTAATACAATCTACTATTTTTACTGGTAATAAGCCAATAAGCGGCAATGATACTTTGTAGCGGTTTTTAGCGGTCAAAATAGACGTTTCGAAAAAATAAACTCATTCTAAAGTAAAATCGTGGCTTATTCTCAGTGAAAATAGTAAATTGAATAATAAAATATTGAAAAATCCCGAAACTCATGTTTCAAACTTCGCATCTTGTTCGTTATGCCTCTTTCGTACGCTGTCGAGGATTGTACATTCCCGTTGATTTCAAATTTGGCTGTTTATCTATTTGCATCCCTACTTAAAATTTCGTGAATGGGTAGAATACACACCATAAAAAATAAACAATCACTATTTGCTCAAACACTTAATAAACATTAAGGTTGTGGAAAAAGGTTCTCCTGCCAGAGAAATTTAAATAATATGTAGTTTCAAATGAAAAATGCGCGAAAATTCATGATATTGCGGTAAAGTAAAAAAAGTATGAGAAAATTATTACCAAACTCCACTGAAGAGAAGGCACGAAAAAATGAGTTTTATTTATTTATAAGTACTTATAAAAGATTTAATTTAACACAAAATATTTTTTTTGCAAGTTGGCTTTAAAGTAACTAGTAAGTAGTTCGATTAAAATAGGTAAAAATAAACTTACTTGCTAATAGGTTTGCCATAGTTCCACTCGCCACAAAAAGTGCATCTTCCTTTCCTAAAAGCTCAGCAGACCTTCGTTCCAACTCAGTAACAGTGGGATCTTCTCCATATACATCGTCTCCAACTTCAGCAGCATACATGGCTTCTCTCATTTCAGGTGTAGGTTTGCTTATGGTATCCGTTCTCATATCAATAATCTTGACATCGGCTTCAAGATCGCCTTTTATTATTTTTTCGTACATTTTTGTGCACTTGTTAACGCTGAAGTAGATAACTATTTAATGATTGTTGTTAAAGATTCTCCCTACCTTATATAGTACAGAATAGCGGGAGATAACCGGTTAATTGTTTAAAAACAACGACATTGCCACACATTATATTTAAGCGAACGTAATTGGAAGTAATTTTCAACTAAAAAAAGATCAATTGCGTAAAGCTGAACCAGAGGTTATTGATTTTGACAGTAGTAAATAAATCAAATAAACTGTTTACTCAGCAACTATGTAGTTTAGTTGCGTGCGTGTAAAATAAATAGATACGTAGAAAATAATTTTAATATGTAAATTGGAGGCTACAATTGGTTAAATACTAGCGAATAGATTGATAACTCTTTTAAAATTCGAATATCCTCAAATACCATGTGCAAAAAGTAAAACACGGAACACTTCTACGTTGTATCATAACCATAACTATTATCAAATGGCATTGAGTTACTGTAACTAAAATATTAAAAGTTTTACTATTAACAAGTCATTAGACTTATTGTTTATAATATTTTATATTATTAGGAAGATTATATTAAAATACATAAATAAATTATTAACATTAATTCCAATGGGTAATTAAATTAAAAGTGTCACATCTAATCGCTTTTCCAACACTAATAAATTGTTATTTAGAGGTGTAGATAACTACTGAGCCGTAACAGATAATATTTATGTAACAACGTTTTGATATTAAAATAACAACTGGTGTATTTAAAAATACATTCTTGACTTTAATAATGTGTATAAAAAAATGTAACTGACGAAAAGTTCACAAACATTGTTATTTTTTAGCTGAATCTGTAATTACACTTTTGAACACATTCCACGATGGCTTTACATTATAATGTAATGTAAAAGTTTCAACGATAATTTTTTAGAATTTAAAGTTTGATTTAGTTCTTAATATCATTTTGTTTCTGGTCGCCATAAATCTAGGACAAATGAGAACTATATGTTCTGCGTCATCTATTTCCGTACATCGGACATCTGCCCTTTTACCGCCAATATCATGTTTATATTTTTTGGATTAACCCTGTACCGCAAGATATTTGGTGAAATATATACAAAAAAAATTGTTTGTATGTGTTTTATGTTTCTCTCTCTGTTGAGTTGGGTTTTAGATCTCTGCTCCAGTTCCCTTTCAAATTATTTTCCTTTTCTATCCATCACTCGAAGAATAGATTTTTATCTAATTTCCTGCGTGCTCGGTATTTATGGTCTTGATATAAGGTTGAATGCTCGAATAAATTAGCTTTGATATTTGCCTTTTATTTGATCAAAGTTCATTTATGGTCTTGCCTATGTAATTGTGACCTTTCTTTAATTAGAAATAATTTGAGACTCTCCTATAGGTGCTTATAAGTCGTAAGAAGGATCTCATCTATATAGAGTTTAGTTTAGTTTTGTATATTATTATTGGTGTAGATATATACAGATATACTTCCAAACAGACAATATGGTGAACAAAAGAATCTCTCCTATGATATGTCATACTGCTAGATACATTTGACACGGAATTACGCTAAAAATTCTACAGCGGGAGGCGAGAGTAAAATACTAGGAATTTTGGAATAATTTGAGAAATAGACGTTGAATTATCAGACAATTCTGTACAGTAACACAAGTATTATAACTACTTTAAAAAAGTGATAAGAAACTTTTGATTTTAAATTCAAGATACCTATTAGAGATCCATGAGTTTAATCAGGCCTTTAAATGTTTACATAGGCAGAACGGTACGTACTGTAGCCAACAAAGTAGCAGGTGTCTTAATAATTGGTGAATGTAGAAACAATTTTCATGCAGCGGAACGTCTTTTGAATGAGAGGTACCCCGATCGCCCTATATCGAAGACTTATTTGAGGGAACTTCTTCGGAAGTTTAAAGAAACAGGTAGTGTTCAAGATAATAAATGATCTGATCGTCCAATAATTAGTAATAACAAAATAATTTCAGAAATGGTAGTTGACCCTATTTCTTCTATAGCCCAAATTGCGTCTAGTCAATCAGTTCATCGACAGTACACCGAGTGTTGGCCAAAAACAAATTTTATCCATACAAATTAAAAATTATGCACCAACTTTCAGATGATTACTCCCATCGAAGACTAGAATCAAATTAACCACACCCAGATTGACATAAATCGTCACGTCTTTCGTAAAAACAAACTCAATTGTCAGAAAAAGTATATGTTTGGGCAGGTATTTTGGGCAACCACATAATTGGGCCTGTTTTTCTCAATGCTGACTTAAGCATTGAGAAAACCGGCGAAGTGTATCTAGAAGATAATTCAGATGAATACGGCAACTTGGAAATAACGTTTCAACAAGATGGTGCTCCAGCACACTATTATGCACAGCTCGGTCACCGGATCACGCCATTAGATTTTTTTGTGTAGGAAATTTGAAATTCAAATTTTGCACTACAGCAGTTGACAGTACTGGTTTGGTGTTGTGGAAGACTTTGTACCTCACAACTTCAATCAACTCTTTTCGTCTATGTGTGCTCATTATTGGGAGCACAGTTATTAATAATATAGTCCTTTTAATATTGTTTACTACGAGCAACTTATACCAGGTCAGGTTTAGTTCAGATACAGCATGAAATAAACTGCCTATTAATTGTTTACATTAATATTATGTTTCCTTACTTTCTGATTTATCCCTAATGAATCTTTTACCATTAAAATTAATAGCTATATGAGTATCTACTCTTTTCAATCAAGCATTATATTTTAAAATGTTTTATAAGTATTTCTTACGATAAATAGTGGTTATTCCTTTATCCATTTCTTGATTTATGTAAATTCCCACATAACTTTAAGCTATACACAAATATTTAAGTTTAAAACTGTTATTTAACCTTCCTTAAAAGATTGAATTTCATAATTCTCAGAACTTTAGAATATTTTTGAATCACAGTTGTTTGTTCAGATTGTTTTATTAAAAAGCGTGCCTTGAATTGCTTCGTATCATCCATATTTTCTTTTCGTTTGAAGACCCATTTGCTACTCACCACGTGAGCGTCTTTAAGAACCACTTCAACTTCAGTCCAGGTATTATTTTCTTTTAAGGTTAGCATTTCTTTATCCGTACCTTCTTCCCACTTTTCTTAATCTTGAAGCATGTTCATAATTTCTTTAAATTATTCCCTTAAGTAAATTATTTTCACACCGCCCATGCCTGCATATCTTCCAAATAACCGACACTACTAATTCGTTACGCCTTTTTATTAACAAAGAAATAACTCCGCCAAATGTTCTTCTCTGCTTTTTATCTTGTGTTGGTACATAAAAATCTTTCCTAATAACAAAGGAAAAAGGTCCCATTGTGAACTCTCTGAGCTACCTTCTCAGAAAAACAGAAGAGTTGTTTTTCGTAGAAAGTTACTTTCCATTGGTAAAAGCTACGAAAATGAACCCCAGTAGCCCAGCAATTTAATGTCAGTTTCGCATGGCATCCTTCAGCAAATATCCCCTCCCAATTTTCAACCTTCGCTTGTCTAAGCCCTTCTAAGTTCACAATCCGATGTTCATTTCCAAGTTGGTTCCTGTGGCAAGCGGTCTTATCTTCGACAATCGGCGGTAAGTGGATTTTCAATTCACCCTTATTTATCTTTATACAGTGTGTCTTATATTAATTATTTTTCTCTTTTGTCAAACAGACGCCTTCCAATTGAAGTCACTTCTGTTTGCCGTTCAGATTTTACCGTTCATATTCTACTCTACCACCGTTCAGATTCTACATTGTTCAGATTTCTACACCGTTCTTCTACTACCTTTTCTCACCGTATTGTACTACCTTGGTCTAACTGCCTCATTTCGTTGGCCTAATGGTAATTCTAAGGGATTACGTTAAGAAGACCGCAATTCTTTGTGGCTGTCATCCCAACTACCTGTTGTACGGACCGAAGTCAAGTGCCTTATTGAGGGCGTAATACCATTATTTTGAATACACCTGTTTTGTGAGTACCTATAATTTGTTATTGACTAAACTGTGATAACGAAATCTTTTAGAAGTTGATTTATGACTCCAGTTCAGTGTACCTTCTTATTTATGGAGGTTTAGTTTGACTGAGTATTTTATAAAATACAGGATAATATATACGTATAAATAACGGACAATTTATTTTATATGTAGATTATATTTCTAATAAATTTTATTCTTAGATTTGAAGTATCACGATCACAAACCTAGTAACTTCATATTCAGGTATCCTCAAGGCGTAAAATTCACTTGCTTGCCAAATATTAACGTAGATATAATTATAATGTTGTCCTTGCTTTTTTTCTAATTCTTGAGGATACTAAATTATTTATAACTATTTTTCAAAGAGATATTTTTTGTTTGTAATTAATAATAAGTTGCTCAATAATCATGCCATTTAACTATCCAATAAAATTTGGTATAGTACATTTACTTTAACTAAATATAATTTTGTTAAAGATATATTTGCTTTTTAATTTCTTTTATATTTTTGTATGTAATTTGAATTTATATTTTTGTGTTTTCTCTTCCAGGCATTTTTTATTGAATTATATTATTATTTGTTTGATCGTATATTTTGTGTATATGTGTCGAAATATTAGGAGTGTACCGCATAATTCCGATACCTTTTCTCTAACGGTTTACTTTATTCTCGCGTGAGTTCTCTAGCTGTACCTTACCTTTCTCGTCATCCTTTTCTATGTGCCTTAAGGTTTCCCTGTTCCTCTAAAAATAGGGTGGTACCCAAATAACTTTTCTTCTCTTATCTCTTATCTTCTCTTCTAACTTCTTGTCTCTGTGTTGTAATTACTTTTTTAATTGATCCGTGTTATTTGAGCTGTAACAAGAACCCCGACCAAGATACCTCTACCAGACTGAAGCCCGAGCCTAGTACCGTTTCTTTGTGTAACCACCAATCAATCATCAAGAGGGTACAATCTATATGTGATTGGTTTTATTATTAACACATAGGAAATCCACTTCCTAATTGTCTAACCAAACAGGTTTTTTCTGTTTCTTATATTTTCATTTTTGTTAATAATTTCAACATAAAAGTACCTCTTTGTTCATATCCTCAGCCCGTAAATTCTTTATTAATATTACCTTCTAATATCATCGTTTATGTTATCTTCACAATGGTTCGAATTTCTCTTTCGGCTAAACTATTTTGCTGTTGTTTTACTAACTTTCTTTTGCAATG